TCAGGCAAGATAAGATGCACGAAAATGAAATGATGGTACCAGAAATTCAAGCAGTCAAAAAACCACATTCATTTCAACAAATTATATATTCTTCTTCTTTCTTCTTTAATTTGAGGATCAATAATTACCTCAAAAGTCTTTAATCTTTTTGTTTTCTTTCCCTTTTCTTCTCTGTATGGAGAGGTTAGGAATTTATGAGTGCCGATTATAAACGCAGTTAATTAGTAGTAGTAGTAGGGGATCTTTTGTAAGGGTTTTAGTTGAGGGGGGTAGAAGAAGAGACGAGTTTCAGTTTCAGAGCAGCAGTAGGGGTAAAACGTAAAAAGATGAGCAGTGCAGTGCAGTTGGTTGTGGGGGGAGGGATCCTGCATCTCGAGAGAAGAGCGACGCAGTGAGATTTTGAGGGTAATCCAATCATCCATTATTATTATTGCCAGAGATGAATGAATGGTCCCCAGATCCCAGACACGAATGACTGTGGGATCAGAATCTAGGACAATTCACGTCTTATGATCTACGGTCGGCCTCTTATCCTTTTTAATCTTTGCATTCGAAGGCCTCCCGGCAGGCGTCAGGCTTCAGCCCACAAACTTTTTTTTTTTTTTTTTTCATTCAATTTTCCCAGCTTTACAAAATCGCATTTATCATATGTCTTATTTCGCTCGGCAAGCAAGAATTTGTTGCATTATCATAGTAGCATGATCAGTTGACCAGATTGCTCGGTGTAAAATTGTTGATCATACGTTACATTACTACTAGTAATTGCTCTAAAAAGATAACCAGGGAAAAAAAAAAAAGGGCTTAATAATAAGGTAATGAAAGCGGCTAATCACTTCTAGTTAAAGTAGGGGCAGCCCGCAGCTCAAAGATGATTGGTGATTTGGTTCTTCACCTCAACTACGTGGCTGGTTATGCTGACTTGGTCGTGAATGTGCTAATTGGTGATTGTAGTTAGTTAGGTCACATCTATGTATGTCTATAGTCACCTAAGGCAGGACTTTGCTTCCTACATATATGGAGTTGGCTAGTATTAGGCAATTCCCCGGGAAAAGCCCCTAAAACTCACCACCGTTCATAGGCTTCAAAAATTTGCAATTCGTTTTAAATTAATCTTCTATACATTGACAGTGTTACACTCTCACAGTTGGATTGAATGCATGATATATAATTTGAATTTAAATTTGAAATCCAAATTTTGCATATGTGTCGTGCATCCAACAGTGATAGTATAGTGTATATAAGATTTATCCTTTCTTTTTTGGCTAATATAAATTTTTGTTTTATTTTTGATACTTAAAGGTTCACACACTTTTGTAACATAATGTATATTAATTTTTATCAAAAAGTGAACCTACTTATCAGCAAATTAATGACCCATAATGATGGAATCAATGCGTCCCAAAAATTTCTCGCCTACTACTAGTGTAATTCGTCTTATTTTCTTGAAAAAGAATATACAAGTAGGAGAAGTGCTCTTTCCCGATTACTACTAATATTGATGAACGACTTGGTCCAAAGCCTAATTTGCATCAAAGCCTCAATCCTACTTGTCCCAGATTCCATGTCAGCTGGAGAGCAAGCAGCTGAACTCAAAATACTAGGATATTTGTGACCTTCAATGTTTAGGTCTCAAACATATTGCATCACCAAAGATTAAGCAGCTAGGCTTGGTCTTTTCACCTCAGGTTGTTTCTGTGTTCCAAACAAATCGAAACGGTCTGAATATCCCAATTTAATGACTATGGAAAGATTTAAAAAAAAAAGTGCAACTCAGGGTATTGAAGAAGTTTCATTCATTCCATCCATGCATATATATATATAGAGAGAGATTACCTTTGCCTCGTCCAATAAATTCAAGAATTAGTCGCAAATCCTGGGCAAGAGTACGAGAAGTTGGGATGCTCCGTCGACTCTGCAGTCTGCTGTGTCGCTCACTTGACATCTTTCTTCGAGATAAAAGTAGGTCTCCAAAACGAGGATGACTGTAAAACACAGAAAGAAGGTCCTTTAAAGTTAATGTAATGCAAAGTTGTTTCATCTGTCTCTCTTTTTCTTTTGAAGTTTTATGCCAGAGAGGAATTGCAGTTCACTTTCTCTGCCAGCTTTGTATCATTAACTGGGAGCATTTACTATTCCCCTTCCTCAGATCACTCGGTTCTTTTTCCCATTTTCTTCGTTTCTAGGGTCGTCTATACCCCTTTCACGGCCTAAAAGCCGAAATAAATGCCTAGACAGAAGATGCAGAAACAAGCAAACAGTGGCCTGCATGACCTTTGCTAATATTTCACAGTTTTTACCTTTTTTTTTTTTTTGCGAATTTTGTGTGTTGGTAACTCGAATTTCAGAAATATTTTCTTCTGTTTTGTTCTTATTATTCACTTTTCTTCTTCTTCTTCTTCTTCTTCTTCTTCTTCTTCTTTTTAAGCAATACGGATGGGATGGGCTCTACTGTTCGCTGTATATCTATCACTTTCTCTCTCTCTGCGTGTATCAGCCATAGAATTGTCCGTAATGATGATAGAGATGCAAACGATAACAAGGATGAAAGGGACAGTAAGCTGCCAGATTCAATCGGAGAGGGCCCCTTGGCGAGGGACTGCAATTTAATCTTTGAACTTACCAGACTGAGGCCTGCACTCCTTTTTGAGTTGTAATTGGCTACAGTAGAAAGCTGAATTGGGTACACCCAAGCAAAAAAAGAAAAGAAAAAGAAGATTACTTAATTTGACACAAAACATACGGTATAGGAGAGTGCCTATTACCAATTACGGTAAGAAAATTTACCCTCCAATATGACATTACGATGCGTTTTGGTTTGGCACGCCATGCATGACCCCCAAACAGTAAAAGCAAGCTGCCTCTCTTGCAGCACAAATTGCGTTACGTACCGCAGACATGTTTTCTAGCCTCCCAATCCACGAACGTAATTTCTATTGCTCTATTCTGGAAAAATGACCCCCAGGAACGAACCAAATAAAGGATTGGTTCCAAAAAATGAAAGGCGTATCTGCCGGTCGAGCGTGTTTGGATGGTAACATTCTTTTCGAATATTATTTTGATTGCATGAAAGTTACGATTCCCAATCAATTTTTTTATTTCTCAGCAATTTTTTTATCTCATATACAAACTGATACGTTAATTACTGTGAAATGGGACCACACGTTCTTTTCATGCAAATACATGAAAATAATATAGCAGAAATCACAAAAATAGCCCTATTTCAATAGTTCGTATTAAACAATGATGGGTTAAATGATGGAGCACTAATTTTTTTTTTTTTTGGTATAACCCACAAGCATTTGCATCCGTTTCACGGTCTACGATTAATCCTGTTTAAACCGCATCAGGTCCCTTGCAGGGGAAAGCTCTCCCAACGTTGTCTTTTTCATTTCTATAAATTTCAAATCCAAGACCTCATGATTAAGGAATACAAGCTCCTTTCGCTTGCACCAACATCCATCGGTAATTATGGAGTACTACTAGTATGCCATGCCGCTCTCTAGTTTCTTAACCACACCGTCCGTCCTCCGTTTATTTCGAGAACTTTGAAGTTTTTACCGTCCATCCTCAAGCAGTCAAGCAAGCAATGTCATTTCAATGCTATTAACTCTCTTTTCTCGTCCAACTCGTGCCACGGCCCTACAACAGGTACAATCTTCAGCTCCTCATTTTTTTCTTTTTCTTTCTTTCTTTTAACGCAACCTTCAACAACCCTTTTTTTTTTTGTAAAAAAAAAAGCATGAAATCCGCATTAATAAGAAATAGAAAGTACAATAGATGATGCCTAACTATTACAATCCAACCTAATACTACGGGGTAAACAGACCCCTCTGCTGTCCTCATCACACGCAAAAGAAAATTCTCGAGGACAAGATTCAAAGATCACAAAAGGCATGTCCAATTTGCATCCCAACTTTGCTAGACCCCTCTGTTGTCCTCATCATACGCAAAAGAAATTTCTCGAGGACAAGATTCAAAAATCACAAAAGGCTTCTCCAATTTGCATCCCAACTTTGCTAAAGCATCAGCACATCTGTTAGCTTCCCGATACACATGCTTCAGTTCAACTAGCTGGAGCCGCAAGAGCAGGAATCTGCAATCCAAGACAAAGTTATGCGAATAATGATCTGGATCGTGATTTGATTGTAGTGGTGACAAACGTACTGTTGGACCGGGTCTTTTGTAATCCAGATTGGCGTAACTTGTACCCAGAAGTCCAATTCATTCATTTAGCGAGACTCCATTGGGATCAGTGTCCGAGCTTGCTTAAGCTCGATCCCCTGAACCCAAGACCCTTCTGTCAAACCTTTTAGATTAGAAAAATTCTGGATGTCTCATGCAGAATTTCCTGATCCGGTAAAAGCATCCTGGATGGGGCCTCCAAGCCCTATTACTCAGGACATTGGTTCCCTTACCTCCTCCATCAAGCCTTGGAGCAGGAAAACTTTTGATAACATTTTCTGCAAGAAAAATGTTAACTTGTATCAAGCAGTTTGCTTGTCTCAAGCACCCAGGCCAACGATAGTGGAGTGAGGCCCAAATGTCTCTAACTCGGGCTCTCCCCGACCGAAAGATTAACAGTGAAAACTGGTTCCATGCAGCATCAGAAGTGACCAAAGTTTTTTTTTTTTTTTGGGGTGCAGAGATCAATCTCAACCTGAGTTAAAAGATGCACTTGTAGCAGAAGGAAGCCAATGAAACTTCTAAAAGCGGCTTTCAGAATCTGCAACCATTTTTCCTTGTTTGAGAAAAAAAATTGGCTTCAAAGCCTGCAACACATGTAAAAACTCCCAAGTCTTCAACCCATGTAATAAACCATCTCCAACCAGTCTTAAAGTCATCTAAGAGTCATTTGATCTCTAGTTGCTAAAAGTGTTAACAGCAATCAAAAGCACAAATTACTTAAGACAGGCCACTAATATATATAGAAGTTGACCTTTGACCCAAAAAAAAAAAAATTAGACAGGCCACCATCTTGACTTAGTTCAGTCTAGAAATCGGCAAAACGTTGAATCGACGAGCTATCAATCAAAAGAAATTGGCATCCTCCATGGGCTAACCCCAGGCTGAGGGGAAGTTTCCGAATATTGTCTTTACAAATTACAATCAATTAAAGTCACTGAGCTAATTATGATGATCATCCAAAAGTGCAAAACAATATAGCCAACACCGTCTACACCTTCAGGAGGTTCCTGGACAATCTGAAAAATCAAGGGGAGAAGCTAAACTTTTAGCAACAAAGTTGCTGGACATTTCAGGTTGTAATCCAGTTTATTTCCATCAGATACATCTGAACATAAAGTCGGAAAGAAAAGAGAAAATACAAGAATATTTCTTCATCAGATAATCAACCACATGTAAGGGCCCAAGTGTACAAAACTTGGATGACAATTTGAAGCATCCTTCTCTGCAGTCATTGGGATCCAATGTCCTTTCAATGAAGCTCACGAGTCTACAGGAAGAACAGAAAAAGAATATTAGGCAAATACCTATTAAGTAGACCAGTGCCTTGTAATTCAAACAGCAAAAGGTATAAATGTAGATTTCAAACATAGTGCTCAACTTGACCCAAAAGCTGGACATAACCAAAGGGGAGAAACATCAAAAAATTTTGCTTTCTTATGATAATTTGATCCTTTCCCCCTTCCTTCCAAAGAAAGAGAGATAGTCAAGGTTGAATCACTTGCTCTTTATTCCCAACCATATAAGGTTCCTTAAAACCTACATAAGGAAATAGGGCTACTGAACCACATTGGGAATAGAGGCATCTGCTTAATGTAAGCAGGCAGGAAAAATGTCTCCTAATCTATATGCATTGACATATTTTTTTTACTAGCACAATTTCAGGCAGACAATTTACATTTATCTAGTATGTTCTCTAGAAAAAATAAAAGTTCATAATTCGTGTAACTCTTGTTAAATACTTTAGTTAAAAACTAAAAGTAATTCATTGCATCTGAAATGTCCACAACAAACCCACTTCCTTAAATTCACTTTGTACTGATGAGTTGAATTTATGTTCGTGTAATCAATATGTTAGAAGTTCATGCTTCATTCGCAGTGGGAAATCTGAAAGTAGAAGCCCTTTCCAGATTACACTACAAGTAACCACCCTAGGGGCATCACGACTCGGAACCAAATAAGTCTCAAATTTGTTTGATCAAAAGATGGTGCAAGAGGTAAACAAATAAATTTGCATCAAATGTTAAATCACGATCATGGCATCTAATATACTGCCAAAATGATATTCAGAGAATGACCTATCGTCTGTATCAGCTGGTGTGTCTAAGACATTAGAAATCTAATTTGATTTTCTGAAAATTGTAGAGAATAACAATCCTTAAGTAAGTGTTCTAAAAGAATGGTCAACCTCCAGGACATAAGCATGCCAGAAATATCTTAACATCCCCAAATTCACCAAACTCCAAATAGAATCTGCAACTGCCTTGTACTCTTCAAGGCTGTTTGCAGGTTTCTTTGAACTTCGATCATAATTCTAATAAATATATGCCTTTGACAGAATCAACTGCCTTTGCCTCCCTGGACTGGGTCTAGGAAGTGATAATCTCAAATTCCAAAGATAAGCTCAAGTACCCTGACAAACCTGCCAAAGACACCCCGTATTCTGATAGAAAAGCATTTGCACAATGCCAAGGCATTATTGAACATGAAATACATACTTAAGGTCAGGGTACAATTTTTGAAGGAATATAACAGTACTATCTCCCCCATATATTCAAGCCCCACTATGAGTACTACACAAAGGCCAGACTGTGATGTCACCCGAACCCTGCTTCCCAATCTGAAAAACTTACGTTACGTGCTTCTGTAAGAAGCTCGCCTAGCTGCTTCTGGGAATCAGTTCTTCAGGTGTACATTAAGCGACTTCTCACTCATTCCCTTATGTACAACCTCTATGGCATCTCAAATTAAACGGGAGTTATAAAGAATTGTCCCAGTGATCACATGTTATAATCCTTAAAGATGCCATGGTAGCAAACCCCGTAGTGCATCTCTGAAGCCCTTTAACTTGAGATAAAAAATCTCTCAATCCACTCCAGTCAAACTCCATCCCCAATCCATTCAAGACTTATAAGTCACAATCCCTTCAATCAAACAGCAACCTCCTTAAACCCACACACAGACAAGAGAGTTCAGTCAAGATTCCTCATTTACATTCTTTAAAGCCCCAATTCCAAATAATGCTGAAGAAGAAGACTACATAAACCAAATGAAAACATCACAGACAATCTCTTTACTATTGTGAGTTACAACTGAGGATTAACCCGACATCACAATCTCAGGAATTAAAGTCAGCAAGAAACGGATCAAAACCCCAGATTCGAAAATCCGAAAAAGAAAAAGAAAAGGGAAGAGCAATGATAGCGTGAAGAAGGGTAGCTTGCTTGCCTTCTATTTCTGGTAACCACCACCGATGGCGTTATCATCCTCCACAATCGTAGCGGCCAAGTAAGGCCTAGGGAAGCTATTGACATCGAAGGTGGTCTCCTTCATCATCTTCTCCACATCAGGCTTCTTCAAAATCGTGCGCTTAATCGGAGGGCGATTGCGGCGCTGGTCGCGAGAGAAGTACTTGATATCGTAGACGGTTTCCGGGTTGGAAGTGGGCACAATAGCCGGAACGGGTGCAGTGGCGGGGCAATGGACCCGATACTCGGTGGCCTTTGGTACGGCGCCCCGGTACTCTGGAGAAGCACAGGGTCCAGTAATCTCCCATGGCCTCGTGATGTAGCGTCGCAGAGATTGAAGAAAAGATTTTGCTGCTGCCATCTCCAAAGTTTTCCTCTCTCCCTATTTTTTTTTTTTTCCCAGCGAGAATCGTTAGTTAGTGCGGTTTCGAGGCTTGAGGTCAAATGAACGAGGTACAAATGTAAAATCGAGGACTGCACTAATTTAGTAGTAGTAACTCGTAAGGAAGTCGATTTGGGGAAATCGACTCTGATAGCAATTTTGGGAGTGGAGGATGGAAAAGAAAAGAAGAGAAAGGTTAAGTTACGGTAGAAAAGAAAGGATAAGAAAAGAGGTGAAGAAATTTTAATGTTGTTCGGAAATTTATGAAAGAAATGAGGTGATTTTGGACATGTTGATTAATAAATATTTCATTTAACAGCTTTTTAAATATAGAATGGGCAATTTAAAAATTTTTTGTAGGCTTTTCGTAGCTTTCCTTTGCTTTCTTGATTTGGGATGGAAAATTTTTCAAATTATAGCTCCTTCCAAATCAATCAAATTCTTTTATTTTTTTCTATTTCACTGAAACTTCCAAACATGGGAAAGATCTTCCGTTCTTTTCTTTTCTGCTCAAATATCATCTCCCAAACTAGCTATGAGAATCGTCTTCAATCAAAAGGGGGAAAAAAGATTTTACCCTCATTATGTTTGTAGTTAATTATCGTAAATTTATTATAAGGAAGTAAAATGAATATGTTAAGTAAAAATAATTTAAGCCATTTGACAAAATAAAGGTAAAAGTAATTTAAGCAATTTATTTTTTATTAAAATTTCCTTATTATACATTAATTGTTTATAAATATATTAATAGAAGATACGATTTACATAAACTTTTAACCATGTATTTTCTTTTCTAATTTTGGATGATAATTTATGATAGTTAAATATCTTTCATAAAAAAAAAAACCAATAGTATATGTTTTAGCATTAAAGGAAATTGTTAATAAGAGTAAAGAAGGAAAAAAGCATAATGCATGATACTAAATAAACAAAGAAATCATGTTGACTAAATATGCAGTAACTTTTAATTTAGTAAATAATTTAGATTTCCTTTTCTTTCTCTTTCATTCTGATTACAGTATATGATTTTGGATGACTATTGTGTTAAAAGAAATCTAATTTCATGCTTAAATATATAGGACAATTTTAGCACTAAAATATATAACTATGGCAAATCATCATAGGAAATTAAAGAAGTATATATTTGGTAAAAATAAGTAATTTCCATTTATATTAACAATTCCTTATTAGGTGTGGAAATTAAATATTTAGCAAAATCATTTCACTAAATATTGCCATTTCAACCGTAATTAAGCAACGCTGGTATGTCTATTCTTCTCTTTTAATGCTCTTTACGTACCGAAGTATGACCTCTGCTTTCTCTGTTTTTTTTTTTTTTTTTTTTTAAAGTCATAAGAACAAATTTATAAAAGAGAAACCGCGCAAAGCCAATGCTCGATTCCCGCAGTCTTGTTTGTTTCCCTCTGTATCTGCGTCTAGACCCGATCGTTTGCCGCCGTTGCTGCCATCAACCACCAAGGCCGGCTGGGCGAGGTACCCGACATATTATTTGTTTTTTATCTTCGAAATATCGTAAGCTGCCTGGTTAAGTAAAATTGTGAATTTTTCTTGTAAAGTCGCACATTTCCCGAGCAAGTCTAGGATAAAATTTAACTCTCATAGGAGCTTCCGGCGGTTCATTCTTCTGCCCGTAGACTAGAGCCAGTTTTGATTCCGTCGGTTGTCAATTACTCCAAATTCTTTCATTTCTATAAGCAATTTTTGCACTACCCGTTTGTGAAATAACTCTGCTAACTTGATATAGCTGCGTAAGCTGGCTGACCTTGAGATAATTCTCTATTTCTTGATCACTGTTTATTGCCCAAGGCAGAATTTATTTATACAGTTGGTTTTACATGCATTGTGGAAATCATTTTTTGTTGCAGAACAGTTTTTTTTTTTTTTAGCACATCAATTCGAACCGATCTTTAAAATTTATAGGACAGATTGGGTTGTGATTTGCAAGAGAAAAACAATTCTGTGGTTCGTTCATCCATGAAATTTTTGTTAGCTACGTTTGAAAACACTAGAATTGTGCAGAAGCTTTATTCGACAATGATTGTATTTGCTCAAGAGTTGCTTTTTCCTCACTCAAGTTGCCATGGTTTTAGAGTAGTATAATTATTTATTTCCAAGCAGATGCCTTTTTTGTACCATGTCATTCAATCTTGAGAGGTTGAAACAAATAGTAAACACCGAACAACACATCCTGTCAATACTGTGGTTATAAAGTTGTCAGCATGATTGCATGACTGGTGAATGTTGGTTGCATAATGCTCTCTTCACCTTTCTTATCTACTCTTATTAACTGACATCCAAATTCTTGGTCTTTGATTGTTGTCAAAAGCATTGCTCCTGAGTTATTATGCTCAAGGACACAGTTGTGAAACTGAACAACCAATCGTAATGAATCCTTGATTGTGTTTCAGCAATCACTTGGCTTTTCTTGTTGTGACAACAACGGTTTCACCATTATATGAAGTCGTGACAAAACATTTGCAAACAATACCTGGATTTGGGTCTGATGTCCAAGTGCGTCGCTATTTCCACTGCCTTTTCCAACCTTTGAGTTTGGTTTAGCATGATCAGCATATCTAAACACATCATTGAGCACGAAGTACCCCTTATCTCACAGAGCAAGAGAAAAGGCTTGCGTAAATAACCTTATCCTGTTGTACTTTCCAATTAAGAAACCAGTGACTAAAGCAATCACCCCACGATTGTAAGAGTCTCGAGCATCAGTAGTCCTTGTCTCTACTTGTAGATCTGGTAGTTCAAGAAACACATGGTTTTGTTGATCATCCATTCCATATTATTTCATTCATTGGCATTTCCATTCTGCATGCAACACTCTGAACTGGGACAGGACACTTTTTATGGAGAGCAGGCCAAATTGTTGGTGATGATTGTTGGATCAGGAGTAACAATGGCAAAAATGTTGTGGTGGAATCTGAATTTCAATCAATGTGAACCTCATTTCTGCAGGATCACGATTAACTGCTTCAACTTTCCAACATGACAGACTGAAGGAGTTGTATGCGCCATTTTTAAGTTCAGAAACGAAGTTGGGGCAATGAAAGTTATGCCTGCTCATTTTTTAATTATTGCAGCTACAAAATCTGGAAATCCACCTGTTGATTCGGCCAGCCCAGGCTTTTCTGCCTCTAGCAGCATTTCTGGCCCAGGAAGTAAAGGTGCATGTGACAAAGGTATGCTTATTCTTACCTTTTTGAGGGTGTCTTTTGGTGAAATGATGCTTCATGCATCAATTGTACGGTGCTGAGATTGGGAAGACTTTCAGATTTGGGAATACACACTTGCGGAATTTGAAAGTCAACTCCTTTTGAATGTCTGTATATGGCATACTTGACTCATTGTCAGTTTTATGCTTCTCTCCGACAAGGCCAATAAGTTTGAGATCACCTGGTTTTGCTTTTTAAAAGTTGAAGGCCACTCCTTTCATGCAGTCAATTTTCCCTGCAGAGTTATTGCTGATACGATTGAGTCAGAATTCAAGAGAACTGAACCAATAAAAACCAAATGGCCTCCTGGTCAAAAGTCCAGGGTTGGTCTTACTCATGATGGTAAAGGACTGTTTTAAGCTGTGTTTGTATTCTGATTTAACAGGAAAGGTGATTTGGTGTTGTTGTTGAATTTCAAGATTTAAGCTCCACAGAAAGTGCGCTTCAGGTATGTGCTCAGGACTGTCGAAACGCCTAAATTTCTATGTAGTCACAGGCATGCTCACACACGTTTATTTTTCATTTAAAACATTGGGTGCTTCTAAAGAGCAATAGTCTCTTGTAGCCTTCGACAAATATGCCTACAGTTCCTTGAGTACTAGAAGCCAAGCATTTCTCTACGCTGATTAGTTGTGATGTTCCAATGTGGCCAACCGATGATTTCTAGAGAGTTTTATCTCCTCACTAGGTAGATAGGTTTATTTTTAGAGCATATGCTGTAGAAATCAAGTTATCATACATCTATTGAGCTGTCTTGATATTGAAGGCCATGCGGCCATGGTTGCTGATAAAAGTTTGAAAAAGAATTCGATACAGAAGCTCAGTAGGTCAATGACATTTACAATTTTGAAACCTTTTTTTTTGGCTTATCACTGGAGATAAAAACCCATTCCACCAAAAAGGAAAAGAAGAAGAGGCAAATCAAAGATTTGGTTGTTGTTTATCAACTTACAATCAAAATTTTGGGCTTTTTTTTTTATATAGAACCAAGATATAAATGTCTTTATATGAAGTTAAATTTTACTATATATTTCCAACTGTACAGCCTTTTTGTTCAAACATTGCTCATCACTACTGGGGGTCATCAAGCTGTAACTGTCACGAGAAGCAGCACGAGTGAATGTAGCAGGACGACCTCTACTCTGCAAGCTTTTCTTTTTGTATCTGGAAGAATTTGACATTCTGTCTTGATGAAAGAAAATAAAAACGTGACAGTGTAAATTTAGTGTGATGTTAATCATGCACTTTGACTTATTTAAAACTTTTGAGGTGTTCACAACGCAAAGATGATGTGTTACATGTTTCTGAAGCTCAATTTTCTAGCATGTCAACACAAGAACTTTAGGGGACGTGGGAACTTCTTGGTGGACATCTTTGAGGGAGAAAAGGCACCCACAGCTGCTGCAATTCTTGTTTGGATTGCTGTTTTTCGTCGAAAAATTTCGTCTTTTTCCGTGAGCACATTTCCCTATTACCTTTTTCCCTCACATACATCAAATCGCTACAGTAATTTTTTCATGAAAAATCATGAAAAATGCAATCCAAACACAACCTTAGAATGTGGCGTTATGCCTCAAGGAGGGTACTGTCTTGAAGGCTATTAGCAAGCGAGAGATACAGAAAGAGAGAGATGCCTTTTCCGGTGGTGGCGGTAGGTCTCAAGGCGGCAGGGGTTGGGGCCATCAGTTAGGGAGTGGGACTGGGGAGGCAGGGATAAACACGTTGCGAGTATAAATATGTTGACACTAATCAAAAGATTGACACTCAACGTGGCTTCTCTAAAATACATATATGAGTGCGTAATGTATCACTATGGTTCGATGGTAGTTCAGTTCTCGTCTGTTTTTCGGAATTTTATTGGATCGTCCCCTATAATATATTAGAATAAGAGTAGGGGTAAATTATGACAATTATCAAATCAAAAAAAAAATTAAAAGCAAAACCACACATACTCAATTAAAATGTGCAAGCTAAGAAGTGTTGAAGCGCCACTTTTCATTATTGTATTGATAATACTACATATAAAGGGTAATTTCTTAGGTTTTTAGATGCGAAAGTTGTTGTTAATTTCAAAATTAGTGATGCTGTCGAAATTACTTTTAGCTAGTAATGGGCCCAAACGGTCCGAAATATTTAATTTGATTGATCATTTTTTATTGGAGTTGAAAAACTTTTTTACATAAGAAACTTAATTTGTGGTATGAATTTTTTGGATGACCAGGGTTATAGCTACTCTGATTTATTTGTAGTGATAACTTTAGCAAGAAAACAATATATAATTTTATATTTTTAGACACTTATATTGGTGGTAAATATGATGATTGTGATAATTAATAGATTTGTATGAATTAGTACCTTGATCATGAAGAAATTATTGAAAAATTATTTGCAAAATATAACGTGCACCCACTATTTTGTGTAAAAATGAAGATGAAGATGACGCGTTGCGTATCGTCTATTTGCCAATTGAATTTTCAATAGAATTATTGCTAGAGATGGAGCTGGATTCGCCTCAATTGAGAGTTTAATTCAAAGGAGGCAATGTTGATAAAATGAACTAACTTTAGAAGTTTTTATTCATTTATTTACAAGTTTTTTTTATTAAAGTTGGGCTTTTAGCAGTATATGTGTTTTATTTGATAATTGATCATCCAAGTGGTTTTTCGCCCAACAAGTCTGATAGATTATAGATACGATATTAGTTAGGATATTTTTTAGAAATTAGTCAAGAAGAGTATGTAAAGTTTTATTGTGACGTGACTTTTTCTTCTATTGTTTGATATTTCAATAATAATGTAAATTATTTATTTTCTTCTCTCTTACATAAATATATTTTGAGTTATTATTTTATCCCTTCAATTCTATAATCCTGCATGCTTAATAATTATTAGAACCCTAAATTTAGATTTTACATGAACATTACATTAGCTTGGTTTGAACTATGGGATAGAGCTTTAGGCTCTTCACCGTTGGGCTTTGATGAGATACCGAGAAAGTCACGCACCACTCTGATAATCTTATCTCAGGCGATGATAAATTTCTCTCACCCATATAGGCTCTTCACCGTTGAATTGAAATACTAGTTCATAGTAGTGGGTAATACTATGTATGTAATTGAGCCATACTTGAGCTTGACTCGAGGAAATCTTTAAAAACTCGAGGAAATGTTTAAAAGCTCGAGACTCGATATTTAGTCAAACCTTATCGAGTCGAGTAATCAAGCTTTTTGACTTGATATCTTACTTGTAAATTCAATATAAATTATACCCATAACGATCATTTTATAATTATAATATATATGTATTATTTAAATTATACGGCTCGACTCGAGTCACGAGCTGTAAAATTCTGACTCGAATTCGATTTAATCGAATTCAAGCCAACCAAACTCGCGAGTAGCTCGGCTCGCGTACATCCTAAGTGATACTTAGAAGCAAAAATCCTCGGGACTGCTGGAAGTGAAGAAGACTTGAATAATGAGGACGTGATTGAAAGGAGTGACGGCTGCTTTTGCCATTTTCTTAACTACCTTTTCTCTTTCAAGCAAATTGGCAACATGACGGGCTTTGGTGTTAAACCAATACAATTTGCGCGAGCAAGTTGCGCAATTTCTTTGTTGACGATTACGACAGCTGTCTTTCAGACTTGCAGGCAATTTTTATTTCACGCAAAAGGGTACGGAAGTGAATAAAAATAAATGTTGCCTGATCGATCCACTTGCCCTATTCTCCAAAATTCAGATTTTAGTACCTTTTCCAGTCCTTGATCATTTGTTTTTACGTCTCCATCAGCTGAATTGACTGCTTTATTTGTCCATGTACTTCAAAGAAAAAAATTTAAAAATTCTAACCTTTTTCTTTTTTTAATGTAAATGAGAAGATCCGAATCTCTTCCTCATCCCTCGAACCATTCAATCCAATTCATCTCTTGCGAGTTCTAGCTTCTAATCATTTTTGTTGGACTAAATTGGAAATTGGCATCCCAAAAAAGCACCAACTCAGAAGAACAACTACATTCATCATGTCCATGAAGCCACAACTGGCTATAGTTAATGCCATCCATTAGCACTGACAATGGCAGTGTCATGTGTACGTCTCAGTCACCTTCATTTGCAACTGCAACAACTTCATCAACCACCTCCGTCTCCAGCAAAACGATAAAGGAAAAAGATACTTACGTGACTTGGGGTGAACCCAATCAACGTTAAAAGCACGACAAATCCGATATCGCAGCAAAATGGAAGTAATTAATTGTTTAACATATGAAATCAGCAATACTTACTAAAAAGCTTCACATTCTAATTCTGAAAAAGAAAAACCAAAACATGTAATTTACCTTGTTTATCTATTGATAGTTTTGAATCCGCGAAGGCTCAAAATTTCTGCTTTTCGCAAGGGTTATTCGGGCAATCAGCAACGTAAACGAAAGGCAAAAACCGGAGCTCTGATGAGACGTATACGTGTCAAAATCTTGACGGGCAACCCATTCCAGACATTGATTTGAGAGACGATGACAAATGCTCCAACAGAAGCCCCACAGTCATTATTATTGTCAACCTTTTGTACTTCCAAATCGTTGGCGTCAGAATGATTAACACCGCAAATCAATACGTTGGTTCGGCAATTTTAGGCCATGCTTGGATTGCTTGTTTCCGTCGAAAAATATTGTCGTTTTCCGTGATCACATTTCCCTATCACCTTTTTCCCTCACATATATCAAATCGCTACAGTAATTTTTCCATGAAAAATGACGAAAAATGCAATCCAAACACAACCTTACCTTTTTTTTTTTCTTTCTTTCTTTTTCTTTTAAGGGGTGAATCGGCACCTTTCCCTGTAAAGTTTAAACTGACGGCTTGGATTGGATGACGAAATTTTGAGTTCAATTAAAACTTTACCCTCTGAGTCGACCCAAAAAGAAAGGGCTTTATCCTCTTTCTCAGTAGCAAAAGGCAAAACGGAAAATCTTTTTTTGTTTTCAAGGCACGGCGCAGGATGACATCTTAATCGCTCGGTATGTTAAATAATCTGACGGATGACATCTTCTAAAAACAGCGGGACGAAAAAGGATGAAAGAAAAGGAGAGCGACGGCAGATAGATATTGGATATCGTTAGTCATGCTGTACGTAGATTTAGACTGATTTGATCCAAGACAGCAGCTCAATTGATTCTTTCTTAGGTTTGTTATTTGAAGCTTTGGAAACATTCCTGGGAGTTTATATGGTATTTCTTAAATGCTTTTTTTAATTATCAAACCCGGTTTTTTAATACTCTATCAAATTTTCTGACACGCTTTCCAATTATCATTGTGTGTCGTGTATTTCATATTGCTATACTATACTTCTTTTAATAAAAATTTTGAAAAATTATAATCCAAACAATACCTAATTATGCATTAATCGCTTTTGATGAAAACTGAGAATTAGTTGACTCACACAAAAGTTGAAGCTAAGGCCCTGGTTGATAATTCAATTCAACACTTAAATTTAATGAATTCAGATCTTAACATATCCAGAACGTTTGGTAATCAAAAATTGAACATCTGAATTAATTAAGTAGCACTGAATTTTTCTAGCCAAAACTTGCTTTTAAAATTAAATGATAAGCTATTCAATTATCATTGAATGTAATATGTACTCACATGTATTAGATTTAATATTTAACAATTCAATAATTTAATGAATTCAAACTTGATTTCAGATTTCAATTTTATCAAACGCATCCTAAGTGTGGTAGGGGGTAGGCAACAATTCGGTTAATTGAATTTTCGGCTTAGTTTAATTAAACTTAATGAATCGATTATCATGGAAATTGATTTCAATTCAGTTTCAATGAAAATCGCTTTTTGAAAACGGTCAATTAGTTGAAAATTATTATGAATTACCAATTTTAGTTTTAATAAAAAAATTGAAATTAATTTTTTTCACTATTCCATATACCCATATACTATATATGACATGTATAGTTGTATATTATTATTTTACAATATGTTATAGTCAAAGTAAAAACATGTGGTTTTATTTATTTAAGAAGTGCATGTTGAACTTTAGCTTTTTTAATCAAATTTTGAATTGGTTAAGTTTTTTTCTTAATTTTTTCTAACAATAGAGGGATGGAATTTAAGAAATGGAGAGAGGTAACGAATATGAGCCATGACTTCTAAATCCTGGGACTTCAACCAAATTGATTAACCAACTTTAAAAACGATTTTTGATTTCAATTAAATTCATTTCAATTCAATCAACATAAAATAGGCTTCAATTTTGATTGGAAGTGAAAAAAGGTAAAAATTATATTTTAACCAATTTCACCTAATTGAATTATCGATAAACTGATTGATAAACAGATTTTCATCAATGCTATTGGATTTCGTTGTAGCAAAAAATATGTTTAACCAATTTAATTTGATTGAATTGCCGATTAATCGACCTGGAATAAGTAGTTTTTCATCAATAACGGCTTTGTTTGGAATTGTCATTTTTTTTTAAAAAAAAGTTTTTCAAATACAATGCTACAATAATACACAATAACTCAAAAAACATTTCATCCATACAATATATCAAATATTTCAAAAAAATTTTATAATCTATAAATTTTTTTCATATACACTGCTATAATAAATTTTTTCAAAAATATCTCAAAAAACAGTTAATCCAAACGAAGCGCCGTAGAGGATTTAGAAAGATTATAAAGCGAGAAAAGAAAAACCTAGGGGAATAACTTGGAGTGTATGTGGACAAAAGATCATTTGGAATATTATTTTAAAAAAGTATTATAACACTTATTTTGATGTGATAAAGGTAAAATAAAAAATATGTTAATAATATAAGTAAATAAAATTTAGCAAAATAAACTACAATGAGTCCGTTTAGATTAGCTGTTTTTAAAATTTTTTACTGTAATATAGTTTTTATAGTATATTTTAGAAAATATTTAGGAGTAGAAGAGTTTTTAAAATATATTTTGGAATATTTTTTAAACATTAAAAAAAATTTAAACTATTTTTTAAAAATATTTAAGAATAAAAGAGTTTTTAGCATATATTTTGAAATAATTTTTAAATATTTAAAAAAGTTTAAACTATTTTTTAAAAAATTAATTTTTGAAAAACTTTTGAATCCAAGTAGAGCCAATGGGTTTGTTTGGATTGTAAGTTATTTGAGATATTTTTACTGTAACATTTTTTGTGATGTGATGTATGTGAGATAAAAAGGTAATTGGGAAGATAAAAAGGTGTGTTGGACGGGTTTGTTTGGATTGTAAGTTATTTGAGATATGTGATGTATGTGAGACAAAAAGATGTATTGAAAATTGTAATAATAATGTAAGTAAATATATTTGAGAAAATAATCAACTGTAACAAATAAGTTGTAAGTAAATATATTTGAGAAAATATTTTTGACACGGGGAGGAGGAGTAAAAGCAGCAGAAGATACATACAGAGTAAAAAGGGTAGGGAAGAGAGCATGAATGAAACGTCGCGGCATTACGAGGTCGGGATTTTCTGACAACGTGGCAAAGCCAATCCGCTTTATCCCCAAATTTACATACACGTGTCCGTAGCTTCCGTTATCTCATAATCCTCGTCCGTTTTTTTTTGGTCATAATCCTCGTCCGTTGAGGAGACATCTTTTTGGACGCTTGTTTGGCTTTTTGACGTCGTCATCCCCGTCCTCGTCCTCCAAACCAGCTTGTCTTAACCACGTGGGTCGTCTATGATACTTCTCCCCATCCACGTGTCACATCTAACTCATTTGCGTTTCAATATCTCTGTCCTTTTTCGTCTTTTCATGCTCCCCATGCCAATTTCAAGTTCTCCCTTTTATTTCTTTTCCCCAGTTTCTTTCCCATTCCTCTTTTCATTTATTCACATTTGTTTATGTTGTTGTCTCCCTCGCGGTCATGGCGCTCTCCACCTCGCAGGCAAACTCTTCCCTCGAAATTTTTTTGAGTTCCTTCTTCACATTATCGGAGATTTGCAAAACTTGTTATTTTACCTTGTTATGAGGTTTTCTGGACCCATAAATCTGTTTATTTCCTTTTGTTTTTGTTTTTTTCCTTGTTCTCTTTGGCGAGGGAAAATGAAATTTACTTGAATTATTACTGGTGGAGTAAGACTATTTCCATCTGAGCATCTTCAAGATTGAATCTTTTTGGGTTTTCCATTAATGATGCTGGTGAACTACATGGCAGAGGCTGGAGAAAATAAAGGAAAGGGCCATTTGCCCACTCAAGTCAATGGATTTTCAAAAGATCTACTGTTCAATAACTTGCCGAACGGGAATATTTTATCAAGAAAATTCGAGGTTGATAATGGAGAAGAAGAGGTGGAGTTAAGTTTGGGGCTGTCATTGAATGGAAGGTTTGGGGTGGACCCAAAACAGGCTAAGATGAAGTTAATGCGATCTTCTTCTGTATTAACTTTCATGTACGCTGGTGTTGCAGGCGGTGAAGAAAGCCACGCGTCATTGGTGCCAATTGCTTCGTATTCGCCGTTGTCAAGGACTTGTTCTCTGCCAACGGAGACAGAGCAGGAGTGGAGGAAGCGGAAGGAGTTGCAGTCGTTGAGGAGGATGGAGGCTAAAAGGAGGAGGATGGATAAGATTAAGTTTATGAGGGTTGGGAGGGAGAAGGTTGAGTCGGAGGATTATTCTGGTGAAGAAAATGAGAGTAATGGTACTAATACCAATAATAGTTGCCAAGGTTTAGACAGCATTAATGGGAACGGGAATGGAAATATGATGCCATCATCCCAGGCATCAATTGGATCACAAGGCAGTGCTTTCTCTGAGATTTCTGAATTCCATAGTCAACCCATTCAAGGTATTTACTCTTTTAGGATTATTCTTTATCCGTTTTATTTTCTTACCTTTGTTGGTAACTTTTACATTTTTTCTCCTTAAAATTTGTTGTCACGGTTAATTTGGTGTACTTGCATTTGCAGCTTGTCGTGAGTGTGTGCGAGCGTGTTTTGGTTGGTTGGGGGAGGGGAGGAGGGTTGGTTATGTTCTGAGTATACAAATGGAAAAATTGCTTCTTGCTTGATTTGATCCTAATGGTTTCTAAGATGTGAAATTGTGGAGTCTGTATTCAGGAATTGCGCTTAGCTAGCTTCCTTTAAGAGACAGATGCTTCTTCAAAATCTATTTTCGTATTGTTGTTGTAAGAGTTGGGCTAGGGTTCTTTTAAGCTCAGCTTTATTCGTGGGATATGTATTTCAATCAACTTGAGCACAATGAGTAATATGTATGGAGTTGCCTTGCCTCTCAAAGAAATTAGAAATCAGGTAGGTTAGTGGTATAGATATCTTTGCTTGGAAAGTTTAAGGAAAGTTTAAACCAAAGTTTGCAAAACTAAAATTTTGACCAAGTTTAGAGAATTAAGTGATTTAACCTTTTTGGATTTTGTTTACTCGCCATTCACTAAAAATATGAGTGCAAGATTTATGCGTAGTCAATTGGATTTGACATATGCTTCTCTGAAGTTTTTGTGGACATAGTTATGTTTCCTCTTTAAGCATGACGCGATGAATTGTCTTTCTATACTGGTTACTGCCATAGCTTATGAGCATAATTGAATAATTTGTCTTAGTTAAATGATATTTTGATAATTTTAACCGATTCAGAAACCCATTTTCCATTCTTTTGTGGCTTCGGTAGGTTCTATTTCTTGGTTAGCTTTTCTGGCCATGCACTTATTGCTAATGCTTACAAGTCTTTTGTCCATGCGTAAACTTTGTTGCTATATTTTGGCACCACGTTTAATACCCTTCTCGAGTTACCATATTGATGTTTGGACGAAGAGTTAATTATTTTCAAATAGTCTGCCCTTGTGGAGAATATCAAGCTCCTTTCATGGTAGGTAAGTTTTGATTAGAAAAGAAAAGCGACACTGGGTGGGCAGCTTGAAAAACTAATTCCCTGGGGTGTATTTGAATGGGATAAGAATGGAGCTTATCTTGGATAAACATTCCTGGTTATTATGAATTTGGGCGAGTATCCGTTGAAATTTTTACTGAATGCAAATTTAAAACTAAGCATCCAGAACAATTTGTTAAGGATGTTGTTTTAGCTGTAACAAAAGGACCGTTGTTTCGATCTTTATTGGAATAGCCATTTTAGTCAAATTATGCAACATTGCTGGGTTGGTTGGTACTCCGCGTTTGACCATTCTTAGCATTTTTCTGGCTGTGTATGTGATGTGTTCGCTCAAGCTTTTTTTATAGGATCATGTGATTCTCAGTTTTTCCACTTTGCCCTACGGGAAAAATTAGTTTGTCACTTAGTGATGAAGATTCCAATTGTTAACAAGTGCTCCTGAAGATGCATATTTGATCTGTAATTTTTTTCCCCCATCTTTTAACTGCATCTTAATTGCTGCAGCGAACGAAAAGAATGGCACAAAAAGCCCTTCCAGCGTGCATTCTCTTAAGGTTCACCATGAGCAAAAACCTCAAGTGCCTCCTGGATCAGTGGTTGGCAAGGCAGCAGTTGACAAGGGAGCAAAAGAAGCAAAGGAGATGCTCAAGAATGTAATGCTTGATATGCCTTGTGTCTCCACAACTGGAAATGGGCCAAATGGTAAAAAGATAGAAGGATTTTTGTATAGATATCAGAAAGGAGAGGAAGTAAAAATTGTGTGCGTTTGCCATGGAAGCTTCCTGTCTCCGGCCGAGTTTGTCAAGCATGCAGGCGGAACTGAAGTAGAGCACCCATTGAGGCATATAGTTGTTAACCCTTCACCACCCTTGATTGTAGCAAGGAAGCTGTAACATGAATCCCCTTAGCACTTGGTCATCGCTGCTTAGTTTTTCTTCATTTGCCCAATTTGATTTAATGACGTCCATCACCTATTGGTTAAATTTGTTTGTGTTAGGCTGACGCCTTGACTGCTGAGGGGTTCCATTGTTTCTTTTGTTACTTCTACTTTCAAATGAGGTCTTCTTCCTGGTTTCAAGAGCTGATCAGATTAGTCCCGTCCTTGTGGCTTACTATTAACCACTGGATCTCGAGTTTAGTGTCTCTCTTTATTCTCAAGTTATATGCTACTATTTCATTATGCGCCAATATGATGGTGTCCGTTAATTTAATATCTCTTTTAGCGGATTTCCATGTCCGGTATGGCTTCCGACAAAATTCTAGCAATTCTCGGGATGCATGGGCAAGGAGTACTGCTCCTTAAATGGGTTCTTTTTTAACTTAATCCATAACAGAGATATCAAGCGAAAGTGAATGGATGGTTGCGTCTGCAAACGGCCGCAAGGCAGAGAATCATAGAGAAGACTTCCCGGGGAAGAAACGGAAGAGATCTAAGTAATTGAAGGGGTACAACCGGACCCGGCGAGGCCACTGACCAAGCGTTAGGCAGAGATCACGGCGATGTCCCGAGCAAATAAATTAATGTGAGGGCTAGGGGAAACAGGCTTTGACCCAGTGAACAATACTAATAGCCCAAGCGGGTAATATTTCTTTCCCTGGAGGAGGGAGAAGGCAAAAGTCACACCTTTCGGGATTGCAACTTCTAAAATTTCAGGCACGGTACACAAGAATCAAATATCACGGCCAATTTTGAAGTGGCACGGGTTCTGCAGAATGATTCTCTTTGTGACTCTTATTTCACAGCAGCAAACAGAAATTGGATACATGTATACAACCTTAAGAAACGAATATCTGCATTCTTCTGCAGATCCATCAGTGAACCCCCTCTCTAATCAGGGACATTGATATGGAAAAATGGGGGCAGAAGCTATACTACAATTTACAAGCACCTAAACTTTAAAATCTGAATCTAGTGGCAGCCCGTGAAGACCCCCGAGTGCACTTCTGCAGTCAAAAGTGCAAGTCCGCGGGCTCACCCCCTCTATGCATCAAATGTGTCAATCAGCTGACTCCTCTGTACTGTAGCTAACAAGATGGCGGCTGGAGTTGCTTCAGCCGTCTCACGACTTGCTTCATAGTGGGTCTGGTTGATAGGGAATCCACTGTGCACACAACTGCCAAGTGTAGAACTTCAACCAAATCATCATGGGGACCTGCGTCCCACAATCCAGCTGTGAAGAACTCCTTGGCTCGGCCTTCCCTCAAGAGCATGCATGCCCAAGCTACTATGTTGAAACCATTTCCGTAAGGAGAAAATGAGGGATCGAGAGCTTTCTTATCTGAAATTAACTCAAGCAACACAACGCCATAACTGTAGACATCAGCCTTGTCAGAGACACGGCAAGTCATTGCATATTCTGGGGCAACATATCCAAAAGTTCCAGCCACACCTGTCGTGGCATGGGTCTCTGAAGTTCCCAACAGACGAGCCAATCCAAAATCAGACAAATATGCATTGTAGTCCTCATCCAACAAGATATTGCTAGGCTTCACATCGCGATGAAGAACACGTGGGACACACTGATCATGCAGGTAGGCAAGTGCACGGGCTATGTCCAGGGCAATCTTGTGCAGTACTCTCCAATCCACAGCCCTTGTAGATCTTTCCTGAATGAACTTTTCCAAATTTCCCCCAGGCAAATAGTTATATATAAGAAACATCTCTGTTTCACTGGCATGGTATCCTATCAAAGTCACAAGATTCGGATGACGGAGTCTGCCTAGAGTTTTGATTTCTGCATCAAATTGTTGAACCCCTTGAAAGCGTCCTACTGCTAGCCTTTTTATTGCCACTAGGACCCCCGGTGCAATCTCAGCCTTGTAGGTTGCTCCAAATCCTCCATTACCAATGCAATTACTAGCATTGAAGTTTGCTGTTGCGCGGACCACATTCTCAAATGTCAGCGGAACACCAATGTCCGTAAAGACTGTAACTTCCTTCCTGGTCGATCCCCCAACTCTAGACCTTGGATTATACTTTCTGGTGTAAAAGAAGAGGACAACAAGAGCAATGAGAACTGACACAATGGCTGCAGCAGAAGTTATGGATGCTATCTCAATTGAGTTGAAACCACTGTTCCCACCTTTCTGGGGTGGAGTAGGAGATGGAGTAGCGGCATAATTCTGTGGATCCCCAAATCTTCCCTGCTGATCTGCAGATGGGGTTGCTAAAGAATACATATGGCAAGATCCAAGATAAGGGTTTCCTAGGACACTGTTACATTTCATCAAGTTACCATTCTGGGGTAGTGGTCCAGACAGATTATTGAATGACACATTGAATACCGAAAGAGTAGCAACATTGGCCAACTCAGATGGAATCTGTCCCGTTAGATTGTTGTTGTTGAGGAGAAGAGTGGTTAAATTCCTCAAATTTGCAAGATCTTTAGGAATCTCACCACTGAGAGAATTTGACGACAGTTCAAACACTTCCAAGTACTGCAACTGCCCCAAACTTGTGGGAATGGTGCCAGTCAAATTATTTCCAGCCAATGAAAGAAACTTGAGATCCTTTAATTGGCCAAGACTGCTAGGAATTGGACCTTGAAAAAGGTTCCAGCTCAAGTCAAGAGCAACAACTGAAGCCAAATTCCCAAAACTGGAAGGAATTGTCCCAGTTATCTGATTTTCGGAGGCATCCAAAAGTTTCAAGGATCTGCATGTAGTACCAATATCAGCAGGAATTTGACCAAAAAATCCATTATTGCTGATATTCACAATCATACCAGTCAATTCTCCACATTTCTCAAACAAATTCCCAGGAAATGGCCCAGAAAGCTTGTTATTACTGGCAAAAAATGCATAGATAGTATTGCCCTCCAACCAATCAGGTGCAATAGGCATCGACTGCAAGGCTCCTGTAAAATTGTTACTCCCAAAGTTATGAAATACATACACACCGTCACCATCAACAAATGACTCAAAAGGAATTTCAGGTCGAGATTTTTCAGCAAAATATGACAAGTATGCAGATGATATATCACTGATATCTCTATCCGTGTTGGGGGGATGAGCACATTTGCTGTTGTAAAACCTGGGAATTGAGCCTGATAAAGAATTTCCACTGACATCAAACAGAGTCATGCAAGGAACTGGAAGTTTATCGACAAGTTGACCAGACAACCTGTTTGAGCTCAAGTCAAGAAAATGGAGCTTCTTGCAGTTGCTAAACCCGTCAGTAATTTCTCCAGTATAATAATTCTGAGCCAAGTTCACCATCTCCAAGCTGTCACAACTGCTCCAATTGCTTGGCAACTTTCCATAAAAAGTTGCCCTCGGCACCCACATCATCCTCAAGCTTGGGACGCTAGTAATTTCTGGTGGTATTTTGCCCTCGTAGAAATTAAATTCTTCACTAGAGACACCTGATCTCGAGATATTAGGAATAGGATCCCACGAGTTGGATAACACAAGAATGGACAACTTGGAGCAGTTGCCCAGCTCGGGAGGTAGTGCACCACTCAAGCTGTTCCTTGACAAATCCAAAATTTCAAGCTGCTGCAGTTGACCAAGATCTGCTGGAATAACCTCCTCCAACATATTTGAAAATAGGAGGAGTGAACGCAACGCCCTACAATTCCCCAAACCTCTAGGAATCCCTTCAGTCAATACATTACCAGCCAGCTCCAAATGCTCGAGATTTGCACAATTAAGTCCAATCTCATTAGGAATTGGCCCGCTGAGCTGATTAAACGACAGGTACAGGCCCCTCAGATCTTTAAGCCCAACAATAAACTCTGGAATGGTTCCATTCACTTGATTTCCAGCTAAGCTCAAGATTTGCAGAGCCAAACAGTTTGAGAACGAATCTGGGATCCCCCCTACGATCCCATTAAACCCCAAATTCAGAACCCTCAAGTTCCTCAAACCCTTAAACTGAAGTGGCAAAGACCCAGTTAATAAATTGCCCTCAAGATCAAGAACTTCCAGTTTATCCAGACCCCAAATTTCCTCAGGAATTTCACCACTCAATTCGTTGAATGGCAGTGACAAGACCCGAAGTTCGGACAGTTTGGACACGGCAAGTGGCAATTTACCAGAAATTTTAACATTAGTATTTGAGCAAGCCCTTCTAATTCCAGACCCATACAGTGGAAATTGAGAAATTCTAGCACAAGAAACCGAACCCGAATTACCTCCGCCTCCGCCGCCGCCGCCGCTGATATTTAAAGCCACCACGCGAGAAGCGGAGTCGCAGGCGACACCGAACCAGGAGCAGTGATCAGAAGCTTTGCTTGAATCCCAGCTCGAGAGCAGTCCAGAGGGGTCCATAACTGAGGCCTTGAACTCCAAGAGAGCTGATGCATCCGAATCCGAGCCAAAAATCGCATCTTTTTGAGGTAGAAAGCAGAGCCAGATGAGAATCAAAAGCTTCAAATGGTACCATTTTATGACAGAAGAACGACGACCCATTAGTGAAACCCCAAAAGGGTCCTGAAAGAAGCCCTAAACTCTTTTGTCTCTCTTCCCCAAGTTGACGTTGGAGCGAGAGAGAGGGTCTTGTCCGAGTTTGAAGAAAAACCCTAGCGTTCCAGCTCTAATTTTGGGTCACTTTTTGCTTCTTTGTTTTGGGTACAGAGTTAGGAGAGAGAGAGAGAGAGAGAGAGAAGGAAAGAAAAGAAAGAAAGAAAGAAAGCAAGAGAGAGAGGGAGAGAGAGAGAGACTCAAATATCAGCTCAGCTCAACTCAACAGTGGCTTGTTGTCGTTGTGCTCCTCTGATTGAGAAAACGCGTTGCTGTTTCCGTATCCCATTTTTTACTCTTCTTCTTTTTTATTTTTATTTTTAACTCTTCTACTAATTACATTTCTCTTTGTTTTTGGTGTTTCTCCCTATTTGGATTAATAATTTATTTTACCGGTACAATTACGGTACCACCCGCAAGTGCTACTCTACTCTACTCCTTGTAGTATTTCTCTCTCTCTCTCTCTCTCTCTTTTTCCTGATTTTGATTAATTTGTTTGGTTTTAGTATAAATTTAAGATGTTTTTTTTTAATCTTCTTCACTCTTTTTCTTTCTTGTGGGAGGGCTGGCTGCCTTTTTAGGAGGACGAGTGATGGTGGGGTCCAATAGCACAAAGACTTTTTGGGCGAACCAGTGGGGACCGTTGCCGGTCAATTAATGCATCAGCCCGTCAAGCGGTCAATTGTCCCCCGCCCACCACCTCCCACTACTACACTCCTTA